CTAGTTAATCTTAAACAGTGGACCATGAATATGTAAAAATAATTTACAAGTAACTATCAACAAAGCCTAATGCTTTTTAAAAGAAGATAGAATTCAAGATATTCAGCATTAAGACATTCACAATTCCAGCATCTACTTAAAAACAAAAAAACTAAGCCAGATATTCCATAGAGCAGGAAAAATTGACCCAAGCCAATGGGAGAAACTGCAAAAGTTGTAGGAAAAAGATGTTCAAATAGCTATTATAACTTTGTACAAAAAATTTAAGGGAAAATATGAGCTTATAGATGAGGGAAATGCTACTAAAGAGACTAAATAGAACTTATAGAGAAGAAAGTATACATATCTGAAATGAAAATATCACTGAGTAGGATTAGCAACAGATTAGATACTGCAGCAGAAATAAGCAGTGAACTTGAAGATAGAACAATAGAGAATCTGTCCAAAAAGAAAGACAGAGAGGAAAATGACAGACTTTCAATGACCTATGATACACTATCAGGTGGTCTAATATATGTGTAATTAGAGTTCCCTGAGTAGTCTAAGAGACAAAGAGGATACAGAAGAAATGACCAAAAAATTTCAAATGTGATGAAACCTATAAACCCACAATCCAAGAAGTTCAAACCAAGAAGTTCAAAGAGATTCTAACTAGGACACACACATACACACACACCACCACCACCACCACTACAAAGATTATCATAACCAACTTGTGGAAAACCAGTAGTGACAGGAAAAATTTTAAGTAGTTGGACAGAAAAGATATATTGTGTTCAGAGGAGGAAAGAATAATACCCTCCCCCCCAAAAAAAACCCACAAGCTAAAATCAAGATTGTGCAAAACAGAAGATAAAGGGCTGATAAATATCACCTATCTAACCATCTAATCTAAATCACCAAAACTTCCCCTCCACTCATCTTTAATTATTGACTTGTTTGTGGTCTCCCTCCCCACCAGAATGTAAGCTCCAAGAGGGCAGGAGGTTTACACATCCTTTATCTTATTCATTGTTTTGTCCTTAGTGCACCTAACAATACCTAGTATTTTGTAGGTGTTCAATAAGTATTTGATAAAGTTGTCCCCAGACAGAAAAGTACAGAGGCAGAGACAGGAAAGCATCCTAGAACTAGGGCAGATCAGCACAATTGGAACCCAAGACAGGCCATCGTGGGTAGGAGGAAATAAAACTGGAGTGTGAGACAGATGCCACGTCACAGAGGAATGTGTAGGACATGCTACGGACTTGGGCTTTATTCTACAAGCAAGGATTATAAAGCAGAGGGGTGTTGATCTTCTGTTTGCATTTTAGAAAAATTACTCTAGTAGCTCCTTGTTCCAGATGAATTAGAGGGCTGACTCAAGAGCAGGGAAAGCAGTGGGGAAGCTACTCAATAGTCCAGGTGAAAGATGGTGCAGGCCTGACCTATTCTAGGAGCACTGAGTTTGGGCCAGAGCTGGAGCATGCTTTAGTTGCTCGTATGTAGGGCAGGCAGTATGCAGTTCCACAGAAAGGATGAAGGAGAAAATTTGACTTGTGTTATTTGGTAGGTGAGGAATACAGGAGGCAAAGTAGACTCTACAGAAAGGCAGTGCATCAATTATCTACTGCTGTGGGACAAATTACCCCAAAACTTGGGACTCTAGACTAGCAGACATAATTATCTCACAGTCCTTGTGGATCAGGAATCTAGGCTTACATGTTGGCCAGGACTGCAGTCATCTCAAGTCACGCCTGGGGGGAAAACCCTCAGCTTGTTTGGCAGCTTCTGCAGGTCAGGAAGAAGGACAAACCTCTGAATCCCCAGGGCACTGCTCGAGTAGGTGTGTAATACATCATGGCCAATTGAATTTCTGGGGACAAGGGCAGATATCACATGACTGCCACCAGCTGGGGAGAGGTTTTCCCTCTTCAAGTTGTAGGTTTGTGGTCTACACAAGTGGGTGTTAGACTAGATTAGTAGTTATTGTCTGTATTTTTGTTTTCTGGTTGTTGTTTTTTTGTTTTTGTTTTTGTTTTTTTAAGTCAAACATTTTACCCTGGGAAGCTCAGGTGTAGAATAAGGAAAAGTTGATCTAATCTACCCTCTCCAGGGCTGCCCCAAAAAAAACCCATTTTGAAAAACATGGAACCAAATAAATGCCTGATTTTCTGTCAGCTCTAATGCTCTGGGACTTTTTGTAACAAGATCAAGACTAAGCTTCTCCCAGCCCTGTGATTGTGTTTGTTGCGATTCATTTGTGCTGCATATTTCCTTAAACTATTGCAAAGAAAATAGTCCATATTGCCTCAAACCTGCGCAACAAGATAATAAAGTTGATCTTTATTAAATCCGTAACTGTGCATCTGGCACTGTGAAAGCTAGTTTCTGATCCCATCTCCTCTATTAGATTGTAAGCTCTGTGTGAGTAGGGACTTTGTCTCGTTTACTACTCTATTTCCAGAAGCTAGAACAGTTTACGTCATATAGGGAGTACTCATTAAACATTTTATGGATGAATGGACCAAGGTAAGCTCTAGTTTTACTCCCATTTTACAGATGAAGAAGCAGAGCTTCGAGCTGTTAAGTAACTTGCTTCTTGTTACACAAGGAAAAGGGCAAGGTTTCAAATGAGCTCTTCTGGATCCCAAAACCACTAATTCCATTTCTTGTTGGCGGGATTAGTGGGAGACGAGACTTGGATTGGCTTGTAGCCTTCTGTATGGTGAACATAGTTACAGGGACATTTTGCTTCTGCTAGGTAACTGCTGTTGTCCCATTTTTCAGATGAGGTAGGGAGGCTGAGAGAGGCTGTGGACCCTGTGGCTAGAGCCATCTAGCTAGTGTGAGAGACAGAGCTGGGATCGGTGACCAACCCTTCTTGACTCCAAATCATCACTTTATTTATTTATTTTTTTCATGTAAGAACTGGGGTGTGGGCTAGAGGCGCAGCCAGTTAAGAAGATTCACCAGAGACAGAGGTGGGAGCAGAACAGGCAGATTGACTGAAATACACTGCCGAGGGGAGCAGTGGGTAGGACAGGCGAGGTCTGCTGGGTCATTGTGCCATTGTGGGTCACCTCCCTGGCCAGAGATCGAAGGCAGGTGGTAGCAGTGATAACACTGAGACTTAACCCCTAGGCCATCAAGGAGGCCCCAAAACATCACTCTAAAGACCCAACTTATTCAACCACATGCACCAAATGTTAGGTTCTAGAAAATAAACCATTGGTGGGTATAGGTCAGCATGGCTGATGAAGTCTTGCTGCCTCCCTCCCCCTTCTCCAACTTTCCTTTCACTTTACACTTGCCAAACTGGGAATTTGAACCAGGAAGAGTTCACTGGGGTGAGATGAGAAAGTCCGAACCCCTAAGAGGTGGTGAAAGTAGGCACGGATGCCTGAGGGTGATGAACGCAGCACTGCAGCCTCCGTTCTCATCGGCATCACATGTCTCAGGCCAGGTCCGAAGTTAGACTGATGATGTCACCAGCCTCTTAAAAACCCCATCGCTCATGTGTACTTGTCATATGTTATTAGCCGATCTATAATGCATGTAACATTTTCTACCGAATTTCCATTCCTCGCTTTTCACGACCAGGGCGAGAAAAATAGAGTGAGGATGACTTGTTCCAACTTCTCATCCTTATTGCCCTTCACTGAAGGATAAGTTCATCTTGAATTATTTCAAGAAATGGTCGCTCAGGCTCTGACTTAATTAGTAAGGCTGAAGCTTCAGTTTAATAATTACCATTTAACTAATGTGCATTCTGCGTAGACAAGGAAATGGATCTCCCCTTGTCTTTTCTCCTTGAGTCCACAGAGGAGAGGGTCCAACATATCTTTTTATTTTCTCTCCTTTATTCTCCAGGGTATTTTTTTTTTTTTAAATTTTAGAGTTGTGTAAATTATGTTAGAAGCTTTCTACCTTATCACCTCCTCTAGAGATCATGAGTGTCCTCCCAAGAATCTGACGTTCTCATAGTCCAAGTCCAAACCTAGGGAGGGCCAGCACCTCAAGGACAAGGAGGCGTTATCTGGGTGAAGGGCTGCTTCTGGCAGAAGGAATGAGAAGCCCTGGGAGGCCTGGTGGGGTATTCAACCCCATCTCAGGACTTGCATTAGGGGAGGCCAGAGGAGGACAAAGCCTCACCCGCGTCAGGGGCAAGTGTGAAGCCCCGGATACAGGATGGGTCATGAGCGTGCGGCCTGTGTGAATTGTTAACCATCACGAATTAGTAATACCTTTTGGGCAAGAGACTGCTCTGCATTGTCATTGTGCCCCAGCTCCAGCCCATGACACAGCCAGCCGTGCCTGGGTGTGAAAGCCAGCTCTGGCACTTCTGGCTAGGCGGCGCTGGGGGCATTTGTTAGCCTGGCTGAAGCCCAGATTCTGCTTCTGTGAAATGGAGCGCACACTCTCTACTTCAAATACATTGTTGTGAGGATTCAATGAGATGCTGAATAATGGGTGGCACCTAATAAGTGTTCCTGTCTCCTTTGCAGAGAACGGGGATCAGAATATCCTGGGGAGGGGAAGAGAGCGTTATTCAAAATACATTTGCCTTGTATTCCACTGACTAAGCGGCGTGGGTTGGGGGTGAACAGAGGTTTTGGAAGGGGTCCTGGAAGTGATCTACACCCAAGGTTAAGAAAGGCAGCCTTGGATTTTCAGAGATCTAGCTAAGAAGCAACTTAATGGACGAGAGCAGGAGAGGAAGAGATTGATGGGCTGTTACTGATCCTTCCCATAATACTAATTTCTAAAAACCTGTCAGAGAAGAACGAGGTCACCCTCTGAAAGCCCTTCAGATACACTGATCGTGCTGGAATGCACTAGGGGACCGCATTTCATTACCAAGACCCCTATACAATTTTCTTCTGTCCAATTGGCTGACAATATACCCAGAGGAAGAGGCTCGGGACAAGACTCAACTTGGGGGCCAAGTGATCATTTATTTTCTCGGAAAGAAGTTGTAGCTAGAGGGAATAATTCTGAATTATGTTTATCCTGCCCAGATTTTAGGCTTTGACATTCTTCTAATGAAAAATCTGAAGCCCATACTACTTGAAGTAAATGCAAATCCCAGCATGAGAATCGAGCATGAGCAAGAAGTAAGTATGTTGGAGTCTCACTGAGTATGTTGCCTCCCAGCTGAATGTTCCTGCCTCTCAAGTTGTTGGCTTGGTGAAACACGACTCAACACCCCCAACTTCACCCAACAAAGTTTTGTTCAAATCTAAATCATTTCAGTTTTGTCGAACTCTGAACAGTCTATTAATACAAGACCTATCCGACCTGTGCTAATTTCCCAGCATGCCACTCTTCCCATTTTTAAGGTCTGAGAGTTTCCATCCGCTTTTGACATGAACTAATTAGTTAGCCTCAGGAGATGAACTAATTGAAATTCTATGAATATGATTTAGCCATGTCGACATGCTTGAATCACTAAGATAAATAGTACATTTATAACCATGGTTATATTTTTCTCTCCCAGCCCCCTATTGCATTAAAAAACTGGAAGGAAACATACCAAATGTTAATATTGGGTTGAGTTGGGGCAGGAGGGTTATATAGGTTTAATGTCCTTACTTCCATGCTATATTTCCAAATTTTCTGCAGTGATCATGTGTAGTTTTGATATCAGAAAAATAGTGCCATTGTTCCTCTTCATGTATTCTGTTCATTGGTTAAAGGACATGAGCATTTTAAGGTAATATAAAGACTTTGGAAATTCTCTTCTACTGAGGAACATGAGCAAAATCAAAGCAGCCCAGGGGTGGGAGTGAGTGGAAGGGCTGGAGGCTGACAGTCACTGGACACAGAATCACTGTCTCCACCATGACACGGAATCCTTACCCTCTAGCTCTCTCCAGGCGTCTTTGAAAATGTCCCCAGCCTTGTCGACGAGGAAGTGAAAGTGGCCGTGATCAGAGACACCTTGCGCCTCATGGACCCACTTAAGAAGAAAAGGGAGAACCAGTAAGTATTTCTTATCTCATTTCTTTCTATTGATTCTGTCCGCCATGCCCGAAGCTGGTACGTTAAGTTCTTGGAACTGTGAGATTTATACACATGAAACTCTAATGAGTCACACTGTAACCTATGCACTTCAGCAGCCAGTCAGTGGCTCAATGGCAGGAGGGGGAGCCTCCCCTATGAATCCGATTTGGGGCTTCAGCTGATGAGTTTCTAGCTGATTGGTATCGGAGCCTGGAAAGTCTCCTCTAAAAGCCCAGGTGAACCCTCCCTTCGTGCCCAGTTGTCTGTGAAATTCGGAGCCAGGTGTAGCAGAGCTCCAGGTACATCCCGGGGCGTGGGCCCTGGTCCCTTCCTTTGACTTTCCTCTGGATGTTTGCTCCCATCACCTCTGCCTCTGAATCTGCAGCGCTGTTTTACGGGACTTCTCTGCCAGGTCCAGCTCCTGCCCGTGCCGCCTGTCTGTGGGGACGATACTTGCGGATACTGGTGGGGGTCTGTCCCCATCCCTCCCTCCTCCAGGGAGTCACCCCTGAAACGAGTGATATTTCACTTGGGTATTTGTTTGTTTTGTTTTGACCAAATTCCCGACTCTTTAAAAGTAAAGTTTGAGTAAATATCAAGGTGGCTGCTTTCAGCAGAAAAAAATGAAAAACAGCCATTTCACATTGCCCCTCCTCCAGGCCCCCGCAAGTCAGATGGACCCAGACGCCCCCAGACAAGTGACACAATGATCAGTTCTGGCTCAAGATGAGGGCAACGCTGACTTCCCTAAGCAAGTGGTGTTTGGCCGGCTCTTCCAAGGCCTGTCCTTCCTCTTCCACTGGCTGGAGCCCAGTCATGGTTAGGTGCAACCCTCAGTGACCCTGCTCCCTCCCCTAGGCTGAGCTCTAGGAGAAGCTCTCCTAGATGCCAGTGCTGGCCCCTCTTCCCCTGCTGACTCCAGCCAGGGCTGGAGGCCTGGCCGCCAAAAGATTTTAACTTCCTTCGGTGATTATGCCCTGCAGCCGAGACAGCGTGTTGCCCGCAGACCCATCACTGGGGGAGTTTTGGTCCTATTCTGAGTCCGGCTTGTGGTGCCTGACTTCTCCCCAGAGCCTTCTTGCACTGAGAGGCCTGTGGCATGGTTGGCAGGACTCGGCCAGGGATGTTCACCTGGACTAGTTCTGACTGAGCCTGCTGGGAGCAACCGCTCAGACTAGAGCTTCGAAGCGGCAGCAGCTCAGGCTGCTGAATCCTCGGGCAGCCCAGACACAGCAGCCGGAATATGGTCCTCCAGGTCCAGTGGCCCCTGCGGTCCTCAAGCCACCCCTAAGGAAAAGCAGTAGATTCATTGCAACTTGCTCAGATTAGCTGCAGTGAAACTCATGCCCAGGGAATCTATTTAAAAAAAAAAAAAGATTTATTTATTTATGCATACGGAACTGGGGTACAGGCTAGAGGTACAGGGGTGGTGAGAGGATTCACCAGAGACAGAATGAGGAGCAGAACAGGCAGATCGACAAAGTACACTGCTGAGGGGAGCAGCAGGCGAGACAGGAGGGGTCTGCGCCACGTGGGTCACTTCCAGATCCGGGGACCGAACGGGCACTGAAGTGGCTGCGGCTCACTTGCAGTGCTGCGTCCCAACTCGTTGTGCCACCTGGGAGGGCCCGGAAATCTACTTTTTTAATGCTTATCCAGCTCACCTGTGGACAATAGGCTTGGAGACTGGCTGGCGCAGGAGGAGGCCTTGAGGGCCTGTCGTTGCCAGCATGGCACGTTGGCATTGGTGACCAAACCCATTAGCATTCTCACCTCTGAGGGGGGAGCAAGTTCCAAGGCCCTCGTGTGACCCACGCTGCCTCTGTCTCTGTCACCAACACACGCAGGATGCAAAGACCCCGCACATCAGGCACCAGCAAAGTCCGTTCACTCTCTGGCTCTCGCTTGGGCTGCTTTTCTTCCCTCACACCTGGCGTGCGTGGGACCCACGTGAGCTGCAGGTCTGCAGCTAACAGCAGCAGGCACAGGGCCAGTGGGAAGGATGAGAAAGGCATTTGACAACTTATCAAGTCATAAGTAACAGCACCTCATTTTTAATTTAAAAAGCATTGACTTTTTTTATCGATAACCAGGAACAGTTAGAACTTCAAGAACGTGACTTCAATTCTAATGCAAAAGCCCTTCATCTCACCCTTTTCTTACAGACAATATGAACGTGTACATGTTAGTAGCTAAATGTCATTTACTGATCTCTTCCCTTGCTTTCCCCTTTTATTATTATTTCTTAAACCAGCAACGGTAGTCTGTGAACGCACCCTGTGAAGTGCATTTACATGTAAAGGGTTATCATGATCCTTTTGATAACTTTACCACGCAGAGAAAAAGCCTCGACATGGCTAGGCACAAGCATCGCAGACAACCTGAAAAAGCACCATGTTCAGGGCCGCAGAGAATGCAGAAACGCGTCATGCCGCAGTGTGTGTCAGAGCTGAGGCCTCCACACTGCCAACACCAAAAACAGCATCATGCAGTTCTAGGCCCGAAACTGCTTTAGACTCCAGTCGCTGGCCCTGCAGAGGAGCTGACCCCACTCGAGTGCAGGTTGTCAGCGAGACCTCGGCTGTGTCTCTGGGTGGCTTGAGGGGAGCCGTGGCCCGTGGCCCGACTTTCCACTGTCCTGTCTGGCTGCTCCGAGTATTCGGCGGCTGAGCTGCCACCACTTCGAAGCTCTCGTGGGCGGAGGCCCCTCCCTCCTGACAGGATTAGCCATCCAAATTTGAGGTTCTTCATTATCCCCACAGGTGCTGAAGAAAAATGGTAGATCCTGAGACCCCGAGTCCTCCTTTCTCTAGACTTCTTTGGGGAGGGCCGGGGGCCGCGGGGAGCAGGCATGCATGAAGGGCACCAGGCCTGTCTTCATAACCAGGCGTCTTCATGCGCCCTGGGGACTCAGGGGCTGCTGTGGGTCTCCCGGTGGGCCTGAATGCACCCCTGATTCTGTGGGGAGAGGAGCTCCTAGTGGCTGCTCCCCATCTCAGCAGAGGTGAAGCACAGCTCTCTCAAACTGCCACGGCCAAAAGGCTGAATTCTGTCCTTGGAGGTGTTGCATTGCTGCTTGGGGTCTCAGTTTGCTTTACCACAAAGGGCAGGGAGCATGAACTTTTAATGAAACAATATGAGAAACTTTTTTTTTTAAAGATTTTTATTTAATTATACATACAGAACTGGGGCACAGGCCAGAGGTGCAGGGGAGGTGAGAGGCTTCACCAGAGACAGAGTGGGGAGCAAAACAGGTCGACTGACGAAGTACAGTGCTGAGGGGAGCAGTGGGCGGGCAGGAGGGGTCTGCCGCGCCTTGTGGGTCAGCTCCGGGGCCGGGATTGAACTCATGCGGAAGTGGCTTTTAGTTTCTTAGTGCTGTGCTTTAACCCACTAGGGAGGGCCCACAATATGAGAAACTTTCAATAGGTCATAAGATGCGATGGATAACCATTTCAGGGTAGATTTTCCAGGTATGAGTTTTATTGCAATTAAAATGCTGAGTTTACTACTATTCAATATCAAAGCTATACTACAGCATGAAAACGCAAAACAATAACACATGGTTACTACTCTCTTTCCAGGCATTTCCCTGGTTATTTTATTTATTTATTTATTTATTTTTAAAGATCTATTTATTTATGTGCACAAGAACTGGGGTACAGGTCAGAAGAGCAGGCGGTGAGAGGATTCACCAGAGACAGAGTGGGGAGCAGAACAGGCCGACGGACCAGACGAAGTACACTGCTGAGGGGAGCAGTGGGCAGGTCAGGAGAGGTCTGCTGCACCATGTGGATCACCTTTGGGGCAGGGATCAAACTCATGCTGAAGTGGCTTTTAGCTTCTCAGTGCTGTGCTTTAACCTGCTGTGCCACCAGGGAGGGCCAATGTGTTTTTATTTTTTAAAAAGATTTATTTATTTGGGCATACAGAACTGGAGTACAGGCCAATGATGTGGAGGGTGAGAGGACTCACCGGAGACAGAGTGGGGAGCAGAACAGGCAAATAAACTGAAATGCACTGCTGAGGGGAGCAGTGGGTGAGACAGGAGAGGTCTGCTGCTCCATGTGGGTCAGCTCCCTGGCCTGGGGATCGAACTCATGCTGCAGTGACTGTAATAGCTTCATAGCGCTGTGTTTTAACTCATGCCACCCTGGTTATTTTAAAGACAAGATGTTATTCCCTCAATTGAGTACTTTTTGGAATGTCAGTTTACCCTCAAGTGACCCATTTTTACTAGTTTATTTGTCCTTTTTATGAGTGTAGATGTTTCTGGCAACCAGATTCCTTTCTCAGGCATCTTAATCCTTCAGGACTCCGGAGTAACAGAAATGAAGCCAGAGACAGGCTGGGAGGAATCGGGGATTTTCTTTGCACAACACCACACAAGCCCTGGATTTGGGGTGTAGACAGCCTGGGAGCTGAGGTCTAGACAGCTTGCCTCTTTTATTCAAAGTATGTATTTGGCACTTGACATGTAAGGCACACCAGTCCCCTTCCCCATGGTAATATTTCACCATCCTCTTCCAAGTTCATTTACCTCCTATCACCATAGAAACCAGGTTTGCTAGGAAGGGGGGGACCAGCTTGCCAGGGCAGCCTTTACCCCAACTCAGAGGTTTGTTTTCTCAAGTCTTCATTGGAAACTGAGGTTCTACTTCTTAATCTTGACTCCTTTAGATCCAGTTAGAAGCAATAACTTAGATGAACCCCCAAATTAGGGTGATTCTACATAAAACCCGGGGTCAAGGTGGCATCATCTATGAGAACAGAGACCTAAGACTGTCCCAGTGACTAAGTTCCCAGCTAGGTCTTGTACCGTGACAGAGGAATGAGACTCTGTCCTGTCCTGGCCTGGAGAAGAATTTCAACATTAACCAGCATGAAGTAACCTTCATCGGGATGTCCTCCCAACCCAGACCCTGCCCATTAAACTGGCTGAAACCCCTCAGTATGAAGCAGGCTTCCCACACTCTCTA